TGAGTATATGACATAAATTTAAATTTACAAAAATATATAAGTATGGGTAAGTGTTTGTGCGTGTGTGTTTACTTTGGGTGCTAGTGTAAGATATTTTAAACGTGAAATTAAGTGTGAAAAAACTGTGAAAACGACAAGGCCACCTGACTTGAAAAGTCATCTAGAATGGGTAGAAATGTGAATATAAATTTTTATAAGCCCTAGAGTAGAGTGACCCCTGCGTAGCCTTGAGATCAAAGGGTACCTAAAGTATTCTTTCCTTTCACTTTTCATTCTTTTTCTTTTTTTCCTCTACACAATATGCTAACAAAAAAATCTAGATTACACAGACCCAGGCCAGGTGCCGTAAGTCTGTTATCAACAAGTGAGAGCACATTGAACAGTTTTTAATTGGTCTTAGGAAAAGCAAAGGTGAAATGCAAATTTAATTCTCCTGGACCTTTGTTCAAAATGTATTTTTCCATCTCTACTATAAGGAGTGAATTTTAATTAGTTTGATTCTCACCGTTTGGCCATGTATTTGTAATCTGTGTTCACACTTTGGGAAAGAAAAATTTGATGAAAGGAATTGGGTAATAATGGAAATCTTGTCTGAGCAGAACAAACTGGAATTATTTAATATAAGAGGGAGATGAGAAACATCTGGGCTGGTGACTGAAAAACGCCCTTCTCCAAGAGGCCACGGTAAAGCTCAGGGCCTGGCACAGTCTTGTCCTGCACAGGGACAGAGCACCATGCCGTGGAAAGTGCTTTGGTGACAGACAGACCTGGGTTTGCATCCTGCCTCTGGAACTTTCTGGCAGGTCATATATTCTCCCTGATCCTCAATTTCCTTATCTGTGAAATGGAGGTAGTAAGAGTCACTTTGCAGCATTGTGAGGATTGAAAGAAATGAATTATGTGAAAGTGCCTGAAACATCACAGGGGCTCAGAGAATGGCTAAGAGGAAAATTTCCAAGGAGAAATCTACGGCAGGGCTGAGGATACTGGTAAGGCACTAACATTGTTTCCAGTGCTGAGAAGAAAGAAGTGGGCAGGGGGAGGGGCAGGGGTGTGAGTGTTTGTGTTGGGGCTGGGGGAGTCTGTGGGTACACCCAGGCCTTCTCCTCAGTCACTCTGGGAAGCAGACAATGGGGGGCTTTTGCAGAGGAGTCCATTCAGAGCTCTAGTCTGTCATTAGGAAAGTCCCAAGAGTCCATGCCTACCATCTTAACATGCTTCCCCTGAGCTTTGTGTGACAGGTATCAAGCCACCTACATCCTTTAGGTAAGCACAGTGCACCAATAAGGAAAGAAGTTAGGAGTTTCTCTGCCAGCAAGCAGGACAAGTGGCACACAAAGGGAGGGGGGGAGGCTTCTGGCAAAACGTGTTATTAATATTTAGGTTTTGCTATGGAGGGCCATCAGAGAAGGAAAAGATATGGTTCCTGGCTTCGGAGTTTGTAATTTAACAGAGAGAAAACACTATAGGCACATATGAAGCTAATTGTAAAGATCCAGTGGCCATATGGCTTTTTTTTTTTCCTAAGATAGTTGCAAAATCAAATAATCCCTGAGGTCATCAGCCCATGGGTCCAGGGCTTGCTTCAGAAAACTCAGTCCCCATGTTTCTATGCGCATGTCCTAGGATAAATTTTCCGAGCACCTATTGCACCCACAGAGTTCCGTCCTCTTTGAGGTAGGAGTGTGGACTTGGGTCAGACAGATCTGGATTAATTTCCAAATATCTCACTTCCTATTTTTGTAAATTGCGTATATTTAAGGTGTACAACATGCTGTTCTGGTATGCATGTACATGCATGTACATATGCATGTAAAAAATGATTACTAAGGTCAAGCAAATTAACATGTCTGTCATCTTCCATAGAGACCTCTTTGTGCGTGTGTGTAGTGGGGGTGTACACCTAAAATTGACTCTTAGCAAATATTCCATATATATTACAATATTATTAACTACAATCCTCCTGTTTGTTGTGCCTTAGATCTCTAGACTTACTCATCTCACATAACCGCAACTTTGTACTCTTTGACCTACAATCTCCTCATTTCCTCTTCCTTCCCCGCCCTGGTAACCTTTCTACTCTTCGTTTATGTGCATTGGACTTTTTTTTTTTTTTGAGACAGAGTCTTGCTCTGTTGCCTGGGCTAGAGTGAGTGCTGTGGCTCACAGCAACCTCAAACTCCTGGGCTCAAGCGATCCTCCTGCCTCAGCTTCCCAAGTAGCTGGGACTACAGGCATGTGCCACCATGCCTGGCTAATTCTTTATATATATATTTTTAGTTGTCCAGATCATTTCTTTCTATTTTTTTAGTAGAGACGGGGTCTCGCTCTCGCTCAGGCTGGTGGACTTTTTAAAAAATTTCACATATAAATGAGATCGTGCTTTCACTCAACTTTCTTAGGGCCTTGGGGAAGCACACATCCACCAGCCAGCCCAGTTCCTTCATCTTTAAAACAATCCTGCCAGTGTGGCGATTGTGATAATTTAAGGATGGTTTCAGCACACGGCCTGTACTAGGCCCTTAGGATGTACAAATAAACGGGATCCTTTTTCTTCCTTCAACCAACGCAGTGGCTCTTGATTTTGGGCGACTGGGGCATTTAGCAACGTCAAAGACATTTGGCCGTCACTATGGGGGTGCTAAACTTCCTACAGTGCATGGGACTGCCTACCTCCTTCTCTCCCCCACTCCTCCATTCCCTCTGATTTTGGGATTAGAAGATGAAAATGGGCACATTATAGGTTTTCCTCTCTCTTCGAAGAGGGAAATTGTCATGATCCTTAATGCTGTTTTTACACGGCGCCCTGTCGGAGAAGGCCGGCTTCCTCCTCCTGCCGTCCTCTGAGGACTAGGACGGGCTTCCCGTACCATCCTCATTCATATACATGTCCCCAATTAAAGATTCCCTGTCGTTTCGGAGAGAGCAGCCTGCGCCTGGGAGTGAAAGGGGAAGGAGGGACCCGCGCATCCTTGTGCTCTTCCCTTGGCTGGAAGGCGAAGCAGGGCCCTGCGCAGAACACCGGGAGGCTCTGGGCAAGGTTATGGGGTCCTATCAGCCTGAGCGGGGCAGACCACCTGAGGCAGCGGCCCCAGGCAGCGCCCAGCCCGACCACTCAAAGCCAGCACCCCAGCGCCCCAGCGGCGGGGCAGCAGCAGACGTGCTCGCTGGCTCCACCAGGGCTGCCGGCTGGCTGCGGAGGCGGCGGGCGCCCGGGTCAAGCCACCCCCAAACTGGCCGCGACCCAACCTTGAAGCGGCCCCAGGACAGCGGTGGGAGTGAGAGCGGGGCGGGCCAGGGGAAGTTTGTCTTCTTCCAAGCACGGGAGGGCACTTCAGCTTCCCCAGGCTGCACCTTCCTGGATGCTGCTGGAGGCAGACAGCGAGGGCTGGCTCGGCGGTGGCCGCATGGGTGAGGGGGGAGGTGGGCCACCCGTCGCCGGGAGCTCTTGGTGTATGAGAGGCAAGATCTGATTCCAGAGAGCATGACTATGTGCTGAGTCAAACCCCGCCGCTGGGCTGGGTCTGCAGCCGGCGGCTGAGCACAATCTGCTGTGGTTAATGATTGATCACGGGCCACCCCGCTCCGCCTCCCGCAGCTCCACAGAGGGTGCTTCTGGAGGGCGGACCAGGCGGCAAATGCCGGCAGCTGGAAGCGGAGCGAGGGCTGCGAGGCGGACGCAGAGCGCGCAGAGGGGCAGGGGGAGCTTAGGCCCTCCTTCCTCTGCCCTCTCCCCGCCTCTCTCACACACACCCCTAAACCCCACCCCCAGGCGCCTGTGGGGCCTCTCCTAGGTTAGGCTGCTCCAGGAAGTTTCCATGAAAGCGCCTGAAACACTAAGTTACCTTTGCCAGGAGAACTCCAGCGAGAAAATAGGCCTGCGCCCACTCAGGTGAGTTGCAGCCGAGAACTTTGGGCTCTGCTGGGAGGAGAAAGGGAAGTTGAGAAAATCCTTGGACCTGGTGGCGTTGTCTCTTCCTCATGGCTTCACCCAGCCGCCCCGGCAGTGACTGCTCCCGTATCATCGATCACAGCCATGTCCCCGGGTTTGAGGTGGCCACCTGGCTGAAAATCACGCTCATCCTGGTGTACGTCGTCATCTTTGTGGTGGGCATCCTGGGGAATAGCATCACCATTCGGGTCACCCAGGTGCTGCAGAAGAAAGGCTACCTGCAGAAGCAGGTGACGGACCACATGGTGAGTTTGGCTTGCTCAGACATCTTGGTGTTCCTCATCGGCATGCCCATGGAGTTCTACAGCATCATCTGGAAGCCCTGGACCACGCCCAGCTACTCCCTGTCCTGTAAGCTTTACACTTTCCTCTTCGAGACCTGCAGCTACGCCACGCTGCTGCACGTGCTGACGCTCAGCTTTGAGCGCTACGTCGCCATTTGTCACCCCTTCCGGTATAAGGCCGTGTCCGGACCCTGCCGGGTGAAACTGCTTATTGGCTTCGTCTGGATCACCTCCGCCCTGGTGGCATTGCCCGTGCTTTTTGCCATGGGTACCGAGTACCCTCTGGTGGACGTGCCTAACCACCGGGGTCTCACTTGCAACCGCTCGCGCACCCGCCACCACGAGCACCCCGAGGACTCCAACATGTCCATCTGCACCAACCTCTCCAGCCGCTGGACTGTGTTTCAGTCCAGCATCTTCAGCGCCTTCGTCGTCTACCTCGTGGTGCTCTTGTCCGTCGCCTTCATGTGCTGGAACATGATGCAGGTGCTCATGAGGAGCAAGGCCGGGTCGCGGGCCGACAGCGGGAGGCAGCTGCAGCTGAGAAAGACCGAGAGTGAGGAAAGCAGGACCGCCAGGAGGCAAACCATCATCTTCCTGAGTGAGTGCCCGGGGCCACCTGGGGGCACCCCCTCCCTCAGCCCGGGCCACCGCCTGTGGTCCTCTTCGGGGGGAGTCTTGCCCCAAAGGTGTGAACTTAAGTTCACCGAGGTGGAAGAGTCTTATGGCAGCCCGAGGGCATTGATCTGGGGCTCTGGATGTTTCTTCTGTCTGCTTTGGGGGTGTGTGGTGGGCTGTGAAAAGAGCACAGAGGACTCAGAAGGTCTGGGTGTGTGCCACAGCACCACTGCTGTGACTGTGGGCAAATCACAAAATATCTTGGCTAACATGAGGACAATACTACTGGGAAGGAGCAGGGACAAACTAGGCAATGCAGGAGAGGTGAAAGTCCTCCGGAAAGGACCAGAGATAAAGGGAGTGTTTTTATCTAGCCCTGTCTTTACCCCGAGAGCCTTTCTCAGGCAATTAGATTTTGTTCTCATTTTTCTACTCCTTCAGAGAAACCAGGCTGTCGGGGCCACACACTCTCCAGGCTGCTATTTCATTCCCTGGGTGATCTCCCCAGGGTGGTGCCGGGGTGTCTGCGGTGGGGGGTCTGTTCCTCCCCAGAGCAGAGGAACACGGCAGCACAGCCTGTGTACCTGATCCAGAAAATCCGATTTCACAGATTTCTCAAACTTGATTGAGCTCCCCGAATACCAAGTTCCTGTGTAGAAAAACCTGCTGGCTTTCTAAACTTGTGTTGCGATACAAGTATTTAAAGTTGAGGCCTTTTCTGTATTTAAAGAAAGTATTTGAAGGGAGGCCACAGGTCTGTAGGCCCCAAAGTGGCCTTGCTCGCTGCCCTTCGGGAGACCCGGCTTTAATGGAGACCCATGAAGTGTGTGTGAACAAAGGTTTTAAAGTTTTTTTTCTTTAGCAGAAACAAGAAAAAGAATGCGTTGTGGACGTGTGAATGAGAGTCAAGGGGAGTCGATATAACGAATGTGTCCCGTTCTCCCCTCTCCTTTCCCCTGTGGCGACAGGAAAGGAATAAATCATGATGATGTTTGTTTTGGTGTGGGGAACTTGAGCAACAGGTTCCAGGGCCAGGAGTCAGACATGAGAGAAGACTGGAGGCACTTAGAGATGGAAAGAACCGGGTCTTGCGTCAGCCCTGCCCCTGGCTTCTGGCATGTCGGTGACTTTACTCTGTCTTGACTTTACTCTGTGTCTGTGCAAAATGAAACGAGGGAACTTAATACATGTGGATGGCCACTCTGCATCAGAGGCCGTGCTAGGTGGTTTGCACTTCCATTTTATGGAGGAGGAATTGGAGGCTTGGAGAAGACCTAATTCACACTCCGAGATTCTCACCCTGCTTCTCAGGGCAGGGGAAGGAGTGTCTGCCCGAGAGGCCCACAGGCATGGGGTGAAGGCAGTGAAATGAGGCAGGACTTTGACAACAAAGGTGCTACTAGGTTAGCCTGGTGCTGTTGCTGCCTCCCAGGGCCAGCCTTTCTGGAGGTACTGTTATCTGGGGCTTTGGGAACCCGGTTCACCCAACCCAATTCAGTCTCTATGACCCACTGACTGCTACTCAGGATATTCCAGGAAGGAATGGACATTGCATTTTGCTTAAAGCTTGAACATTTGTTGAAAGGCTAGTTCTCCCTTTCTCCCTACATAGCCCCTTAGGTGTGTCTTAAATTGTTATCTGTAATTTATACTTTTGTGTGAATGAATTTAATTTCCTCTCCCCCCTTTTTTGGGGGGGGGTGCAGGAGTATGCAGGGCACTGGCCTGAGTGGATGAGAAGTAGGGAGTAGACAGGAATTAGGAAGTAGTCTTCAGCTACCTTCAAAGGCATTAAGGCTGCCTTTGACCAAAGGAAAAAATAATTAATTTGCCTAATCAATTATTTGCCTAATCTCAGTGTTTTTTGTATTTCTCTGAGTCGATGCCTGTTCTCTCTTCAGTAAGTGTTCTGAGTCAAAGTCAGTCTCCACTTTGTAGCATAAAATCAGAATGCCACAGATTTTTATTTAGAGGTGGATGGGACCTTGGTGATCATCTCATTCCGTTAGTAACTGCCTGGAATGAGTTTGTTCTCGTTGCTGCTCTCACTCCTTCCTTCTAGCTCTTTTCCTTCTTTCTTATAACTGTGTATTAATCACCCACTGCGTTCCGGGAGTAAAGATTGTTGAATGGCAATCAGGTGCTCAATGTGCGATAATGTCCTGGGGGAATTTACCGTTTGTATTTCGCCCATTTTCTCTGCAGTAGGTTTTCAAAGCAGTTCTCGAAAAATGTCCTCCTCTCCCAGTGAATTTCAAAGAGCTTTTAAAAATGGGAACCTCACTAATTAACTCAAGTTAGAAAATAAATTAATGGAGTGAAGAGGAAGAAACCGTGGCCTGCATCCATCAGATTAGTACAATGCAATTTACTTTGTGGGTTTCATAAAACTTGTGCTTTGGGGCATTTTTAACCCAGAACAAATGAACATATGAATTGTTTACAAATCGCTGAATTTAATATAGTGATTTAGCTGTCCTTTTAGTATTTCATTTCACAGATGGATCAAATTAAAATAAATATTTGCTCATTTCAAACATATCTTGAATTTAATGTGAAATGTAAATGACGACATAGCACAAGATGTCTTTGGAGCTCTTGAGGCAATAAAAAAACAATTACAAAGTTTACTCCTTTGTTGTTAAAAATGCTAACTTCTACATAACAGAAATAAATTCACAAATCTACCCAAGATGAGGAAACCCATGTAGAAAATATTAATTTTCCTTTCTGCATCTTTCCCTATCGTGCCTGCCTAGTTGAGGTGCTGGGCTGGCAAATGATGAAAACAAATCGGGAACCGTGGGAGAGAAAGAGAAGCTGGGATGCCTACTAGCTTTCGAGCAATTTGCAGGAGAAACAGTGATAATGCAAAAGTGCACATTCCTGTAAACAGGAGTGTCTTCTCCTTCCTCTTGTCAGCTTAGTGAGAAATTAGTAATAGACTTGTTTCCTGTTGCAAGGTTATGGCTCATGTGCCCATGGAATACTTGTCCAGTGTCAGAACAGACGTTGCTGGTCTGGATTTCTGACTATTCTGGAGAAAAGAAACTGGTAGAGTTGACTCTTTTTCCCTTGAATGTTGAGGATGTGTAAAATGAGGCTTCCTTTCAAGCAAGGCTTTCCCAGACCTTCCATCTTATCTTTCTGATCTCTCCCTTGGAGTTACTCCCAACGCAGATAGCATCCGGGACCATGGATGCCCATGTTGTGTCTACTGCATACATGGCTTGCTGTCACATGTCACCCACTCAATGTGGAACAACAGAGTATAAAAGAAATATAGTTTTAATTTGTAACTTTCAAGAGCATAAAGTGATTGGGTCTTGGTTACAGCTACCTCCTAGAGAACTGTAGGGCAGTGACTGGCTTTCAACCATAGTTATGAAACAAGATTTTTACAGATTATCATGAAGTTACAAAATTAAACATCATAGAAGATTAGAAGATTCAGGACTCTATAATAATTACACTCTTTTGCACTCTGATTTGATCTCCCAAGTCAGAAGGAAAGGGAAGGAGTTACGTCTCGTGCAGGAATTACGCATCGACTTGGGTTGCTCATGGGAGAATATCTTGAATATGGACAATACCCATCATGTGTATTCGGATGGAAAAAAAGGTTGAGAGTTGATGCTGTAATTGACTACTCTAAAAAGTTGATGCGCATTTAGATATTTGTGGAATGGGCTAGGAAGATGAGGGGAGAAGGAGATCAGAATCACATCCTCTGGGTTTTTAGACCCCAGATTTAGAGACCAAATTAAGGGAGAGGAGTGGGAGAAAGTGAGAGAGAGACAGAACACTGAGATGTTGACATTGGGTCCTCTTTACCTGAGGAGGATCAGTACCCGAAAAGAACTCTTAAAGTTAGTTCCCTTAAAGTGGGGTCCAACATTTCATGTGAAAACAGGTTTGATTTGGATTTGAGAGTGAAAATTTTAAAAAGACACTTATCTTGTATTTTGTAAATAAAGGTTATAATTATAACTATATGTTAATTCTTGTAACAGCTATTCAGAATGACTTATGTGTGGCTTGAGGGCATGATTTTTCTGACCAAGCTATATGATAGCCTTTGTGTTGGATTTTCTCAGCAAGAGCATGAACAGGTCTTCTTTTAATTCTTTGCTATTTAAATCACCCTCATGGAAGCACCTGTCCTGGCATTATCCTCATCAATTTCCATTCTTTCAGGATTAACTGGTCTAATTCAGACAGACCTTCATTTGTCAGTGGCTTGGCATTTGATTCAACTATTTCTCCAGCTGCCTTTTCACTGACTTCCTAAAATTCTGTAGCCCATGTGCAGGCCATAACCAAAAACATAATTAGTTTAAAAAATCAATTCCTATCCGCTAGTGTACATCAAGGATTACATACAAGTGGATGCTTTGAAATGCTTCCGAAGTGCCCATAACAATTTTTAGGTAGTTGTTTTCTTGACTAGTTTAAGAAAACATGTTTTCACCATTAATTTTCTCAGAAAAGGCTTTTTCTGTGGCATAAAAGGATACATCAACCCAGTCTCTCGGGGAAACGCCACCAAAATTAAACTGGTGACTTTTTTAGTGGAAGCTATTATTTTAACTCAAATGTTTGGATATTTCAGGAAAAAGTTTTGCCTCAAATATTCTGATTATTGCCTCTATTCTCTTCTTCCCTTTAATGGGGTAGATGTCGCCGTAATAAATGGCATTTCAGGTTTATTTTTCTATTCGTGATATCTATCATAAATTGCAAGTGTTCTGTGATCAGCCTGGCAGACAGATATAATGCTGCTTTATTTTTATAATCAGGCTGTCTCAGAGATTTCATTTCTCTGCTGGAGAGATGCATCATTTCTGAGGAAGGGAACATGGAAGCCCAGTCCCCATTGGTTAGCAAGCCAGTTCATCTGTCTCAGTTGCGTGCCTCGTGGGGCTGCCAAAGTGTAATAAGGAGGCAGAGGCCTCAGTTGAGCGAAGCATTCGGCTTATTAAT